ATCTACCCGAGTCTGCTCGTGCCAAGCACTCGCGCCGAACCTTCCCGCGCCCAAGGGTCCGAGAGCCGAGCTTACTTAAGCAAAGTCATATATTGGATCATTCTTGATATTTTTCTAAGTCTTTTGATAACAAGAAGAAGCTCTATACCTGGCCAAGCATGGAGGACGCGCGCAGCCCAAGCATCCCGCGCCGTCCCAGCAGGCCTCGCGCCAGCCCAGCGCCAATAGCGACAGCCCACCTTCTTGAGCCCAATTCTAAGAGTTTCAGCCCACTTTGTTCAAGACCCAAATGCTATGGTTATTAAGGACTTAATGTGGAACAAATTAAGCCTAAGTTAGTGGGGTGCACATGTGAATATTTTATTTAATAGTGGAATCTTTGTCCACCACTACCTAGGACATCCGACCAAAACTTTTATCCCCTGCCAAGATGCTCTGAAAATCCCTCAAAACCATGCTAGATTCGTGCTAAGTAAGGTCAAGTAAGTCCAAGACCACCCACTCCAAGTTTCCATGCACCTAAGACTTTGAAATGGCCTCCTTTGACCAGCCTTATAACCTCCGCCCAAACCCCTATATAAGCAGCATTCTCCAGCTCATTTTAAGCTCTTAGACACTCAGTTGCTCGATCACTTAGTGAGAAAATAGAGGAGTAGACCGAGAGCTTACCTTAGCCATTTTCCGAGCGCGCATGACCCGTGAGGAAGGAGCACTGAGGGTCAGCTGGTTCTAGCCCTTTTCTCTCGTGTCTTATCACTTTCCAAGTATTCCTTGGATTTTATAAGCCTCTTGAGTTCATCCCTTGCAGCCATTATCAACCCAAGCAAGCCTAAGTCCCTCAAAGCCGCGTGCGAGCCCTAGCCAAGACTCGAATGCCATTTTCGTCCCTTGGAGCAGGTTAGCTCGTGACATTTGATTTCCCTAGCCACTTTATGAAAATTTAAGATTTATCATGAAGAGAATTCAAGCCATGCATGTGTTTAAATAATGAGAATGAGGGTGTATAAATTTGAGCATGTTTGGAGTTCGTTTGCTCGGTCATCTAGTACATGATTTTAGAGCATTTTTCACCCCCGAGACCATTTTAGTTGCATGAGAGTAAAGCCTATCATGTTAGCCTTAAAAATCATGTTTTAGGTTGTTAAGTATTCGACATATTTCATATGTTTAAGTATGAGTAGTTGGTTCGGTGATTTAGTGTTCGTACGTGCCTTATCGGCCCTACCGAACTACATGCATGTGGACCCGAGGTCTCCTAGTGCTTCATTGGATTTTTATGCCTATTTCATCATGTTGAGTTGAAATATGTTGCATGTCACCGGAAGAGTTGCCGAATGGCCGGTAAGGACCGGCCATGGTCACTGGCCGCGCATGCAGCGCCGGCAGTGCCCGGGCCCGTGCCTCACAGAGGTTAAGTTTGGCCAGTCAGTGCCCGGCCTCGTGCCTGTCCATGCCATCAGAGGCTAATTTTCCCTATTCGTGCCCAGGGCCAATGTTTCAAAGGTTAAGTCGGCCCAGTGCCCGTGCCCTGTAGGCGCGACGCACAGCAGGCCAGTGCATGCACGCGACCGCGCCCAGCAGCACTCAGTTCGTGCACGTGTGCATAGTGTTCGCGTCTTTAGCATCCAGACAACATGCACGGCGCCCAGTAGCGCCGTGCCAGTCCCAGCGCATGAGGTCTCGAGCCCAGGCCCTCGTGTCGTATCAAGGGTCAACCCGAGTCGGGTCAACTATATCCAGTCGGCCTCGGGACATGCCCAGCAGCACGCCCGAGTGCCCAGCGCCATCAGGGTCGCCCGGCAGCATCCGCATGGTGTGATGAGAATGTGGGTTTCGAGGCCCAAGGACGTCGAGAGCCGATGGCCGAGAGTACCCGAGAAGGCCGAGGAAAGGGCTAAATTCACGTATGCATGGCCTAAGAAACGGGTACGAGCCCGTATACGAGGCGCACGAGCACAAAAGAAACGACACAAGTCGAACCATTGGGGCTGTGCAAAGGAGGTTCGTGATGGCCGCGCGCGAGGAAAACCCGCAACGCGTAGACACGCGATACGCGTGAGCCGCGCAGCGAGGCGCGCGAGGGTACACGTGAAGATGCACATCCATCAGCGCGAGTGGTGCGCGAGATGATCCGACGGCAAGGGCACGGACACGCACATTGGCGTAGACATGCATGGTCGAGACCCGGGAAGCCGCCAGGCTCGAGCCTGCAAGGACGAGCAGGCGGCACGAGGGGTCGCAGCCAAACGGGCCGAACAAGAAGGTCGGCTGGTCGACTCTCAGATGGTCGACATTCGCGAGCTCGAACGGGCCTATCACACGGTCAACACTAGATAGGTCGATCGGGCGGCAGGACGAACAGATGGACGATGCTCGCGGAGTCGAGGACGCGCATGGTCGGGGTCGGAGGAATCGAGGCTAAACTCACGGTATCGAGCAGATCGAGGCACGAGCAGGTCGAAGCTAGTTGGGTCGAGCACCGCCTAGGTGCGAGGCACGAGGCTAGGCACGGACATCCAGTAAACCTCGTTGGACAAGGATTAGGCGACGGGGTCGAGTGCGGCAACGCATGCGCCAAGACGGCAAGGGTTGGACTCCTTGGAGGATTAGGAAAGTCGGACGAGGGAGATTCCAGAGAGGTGCTCGGAATCCTCAAAAGGCTAGGACACACGGGCAGATGTAGTCAGGCGCATACAAGGTTGGAGATAGGAAGAGTCCTTGAAGGATTAGGCGAATGCAATGCGGACGAGCGCATGGGCGGTTTCCATGGCGGGGTAGGCAAGGCGCAAAAGGGCAGCGTGAACGTGGCAGACTCTTTGAAGACGGCTAGGGTCTATTTCCTAGATGAAGTTCTCAACGGACTGAGGACACCGCGCGACCAAGCACGAGGAGGAGCACGCGGGCGTGACGCGCAAGCACACGAGGCGAGCCGTGCGAGTCAAGGAATGAAGATTCTAGAAGATACTTATTATCTAGATTAATTAGTTTAATTAATTAATAGTCAGGTTTGTTTAGAAGTTAGTAATATTTATTCGGTTAGTCTTGAGTTTCGTAGGTTAGTATATATATTTAATTAGGTGGTTTATATATTATGTTAGGATTGTTCTTCACGTGAGTAGATTAGTATAGTTAGGATATATTTATTTATGTTAGCCGCGTTAGTGGTTATTAGATGTTAGGAGATTAATTATTGTGTTAGCATATTTAGTTAGTCGAGGTTAGTAATTAGTTGGTTAGGTATTTTATATTTTGGCAAGTCTTGATATGCAAGACATTTAGTTACCTTAGGATTAGATGTTATTTTCGAGTTGGAATTATAGCTCTCATATAGGACTAGATCTAGTTTTATTATCATTGAATATTAATAGAAAATCCGAACTTTTGTTCAAACACTTTGTCTTAGTTTTCTTCTTGATTTCTTTTGCAATTTTATTCGTTTTAAGAGGCGCTCACAAGGCTCGCGAGACACCTATTGTGCGATTTAAGGCGCGGGAGTGGCTTGTCAACAGTCGGAACACACGATCTTCATCATTGGTGCTCTCATTGAGAGTATCTAGATTGTGTGTTTTTTTTTCTTCTCCATTCTTTTTGATTTAGGTTTTGTTCAAAAAATAAAAAATAAAAATTGTATTTTTTTTTATTTTTGTTTAGAGNTGTGTTTCAAAAAAAAAAAAATATTGATTAAGGGTGGCCGGGTAGTTTTTGACAAATAGTAGGTATTCAATTAGGCGAACCGGATTACCGGTTTCCGGTTAGGGTTTCTTCCATTGGGAGCTTTCCGATGATTACCGGTGTCCGGTATTAACTGTTTTTATTCTCTCCTTGTCTACGCTCGAGTCCTCATCCTCCTTTCCAAAATTTTCCTTCCTTTTTCCCATCAATTCTTATCCCACCGTGTATCAAACTTCTGAGCGAAAATGCAAGACGACCTGGCGGACCGACTTCACAAATTCTCCCTTTCTCAAAAAGAGGAGAATATAATTGATTTGGAAAAGACTGATATCCGCTATAGTGCTGAAGAATGCAAGAAAAGCCTATTCGGCAAGGTGATCGGAGACAGGAAAGCACACATGTTCGGCCTTAAACGCACTATGTCTCAAGTTTGGCAACTCAAACACCCACTGACAGTGCGTGAATTGGAGCCCAACTTCTTTCAATTTCTTTTCGACTCTGAACTTGAAAAGAAGAAGGTAGCCTCAGGTCGGAATTGGTCATTTGAGAACCAGTACATAATTCTCAAAGATTGGATCGAGGACCTATCGGCATCTCATGACTACTTCCAGGAAATGGACATCTGGGTACAGGTTGGGAATATCACCTTAGATTGGTTATGCACTGAGGTTGGGCTCAAAATTGGAAAGGCTTTCAAGCGGATCAAAATGGCTACCATTGGTACCGGCTCGGGAAACTGTGGCAGATATCTCCGCCTTCTGGTCACAATTGATCTAAATGAGCCACTGCTTCGATGCACTTCTATCAAGCTGGGGGATAAAATTCGACGGTTAGAATTTAAATATGAGAAACTGATCAATCTGTGCTACTACTGTGGGAGGATTGGTCATATGGACAGGAGCTGCAATTTCAAAGAAGAAGACATAGCAAATGGCACGCTCTTAGAAGGCCAATTTGGTGAATGGCTCAGAACATCAGAAGGCACCCACAACCCCAGATCAAATAACACGAATAACACTTCTGAACCCTCCTCAAGGTCTAAGGAGACCAGCAATGCTCCTACCACTCAAGGGACATTAGAAACCAAACACTCTCATGAAGCTGGAAATAGCAACTCCCCTGATCAACTCATTAGACATGAGGTATCCTCAAACAAAGCCCTCATTGCCTGTCCATCTCAACCAACCCCAAACTCCAATCCCTCAATTCCCTGTAAGCCCATTCTTCTGGAATTTCACAATCCTCTCGCCAACCCTATCTCCTCTCCCACAAATGAACACCTTATGGACTTCTCATCCTCCTCCCTTCATTTAATACAAGTTAATCCCATGGACCCCATTGACATAACCCAACAGCAACCCAAGAAGAAATGGACAAGAAGACAAGCTAAGCTGGCAGGATCAAGCTCTTCAATGCCTCCCCCTGAACCTCTTGAGCCCAAACCCAGTGGCAAGAGAGGTCGAATAGAGGAATCTTCAGAACCTTCTCAACCAGCAATTTCAGGTACTGATGCTTCTATCCCGAAAAAACAAAAAATGACTAGTAAGGTGGAGGACGCCAGCCTTGAATGGCCCCAAGGTGATAAATGACAGCCATGGTGTGGAACTATAGAGGTCTGGGTGGACCCTCTACAGTTCCCCAGATCAAGGAATCTTGGAGATTCCACCATCCTAATTTTGCTTTTCTCTGTGAAACTCGAAAATCCAAAAAATTTATTCATCTGTAGAAATCTGAATGTTGATGATAGATGGGTGGTTTCAGACCCTGTAAATAAGAGTGGAGGCTTGCTTGTTTTCTGGAATCTAGATGTGGATGTTTGTCAAACTATATGCCACCCTTTTTGTATTGAAGTGGAATTCAGTATTAGAGGCAGCTCTGAAAAATCTTGGTTTATTTTTGTCTATCTTAGTCCCTGGAAAACCACTCGGCTTTCTCAGTGGGCATACCTTAATCAAGCAAAGGTTAGCTGGGGTCAAAATTGGGTTATCGCAGGAGATTGGAATGATATTCTCAACCAGGAAGAGAAAAATGGAGGAAGATTAAGACCTGACATTAGCTTTTGGGATTTCAGAACTTGTTTGGCAGAGCTTGGTGGTCATGAAATATCAATGGAGGGACACCCTTTTACCTGGGCAAACAACAGACCTGCAGAAGGCTTCATAGAGGAAAAGCTGGATAGAATGATAGCATCTCTTAACTGGCATTCCAAGCATCCTACAGCCAAAGTCCTAAATATCTTCAGGAGTGCATCTGACCATAGCCTTCTCTTTCTTCAACCTGGCCTTCCTCACAATCATGTCAAACATACCTTCTGCTTTGATAAAAGATGGCTGAAAAAGCCTGGTCTGAAAGAGGAAATTCAAAAAGCATGGGATCAACCAGTGGCCGGGTCTGCTATGTTCACCCTAACTGAGAAGATCAAAGCTACCCGGGTAGCCCTACTCAAATGGAACAGAACTTTCCACACTAACTCTGCTACTGCCATCAAAAAGCTTTCTGAGGAAATGGCTGATCTAAGGTCACATGGTGCAAACAGGGACTGGGACAAATGGTCAAATATCAAACAGCAACTTGATGCAGCTCACCTTGCAGAAGAATCTTTTTGGAAGCATAAATCAAGGGTCCTCTGGCTCAAAGAGGGTGACAAAAACACAAGGTTCTTCCACGCATATACTCTTCAAAGGAGGAAACTCAACACAATTACAAGGCTCATCAATCCAGACCAAACCATCTGTAACACCAGGGAGTCCATCACTGAATGCCTATCAGACTACTACCAGCAGCTCTTCACCTCTGAAGGCTCTATTGACCATGGCAATCTCCTCAGCCACATTCCATCTACTATCACTCAAGAGCACAATGAGCCCCTCATTACCTCAGTCACTGAAGACGAAATTAAAAAAGCTCTCTTCAACATGCACCCTGACACAGCCCCTGGCTGGGATGGTATGCCACCTTCTTTCTTTCAATCTTTCTGGAGTATTATCAAATCTGACTTGTGCAAAGCTGTCCTGTCCTTTTTTACCTCTAACCATTTGCTCAAAAATTGGAACCTCACCCTTATCACTCTTATCCCCAAATGTTTTGTTCCTATGACTGTGGGTGATTACAGACCTATTAGCCTATGTGAGGTTATATACAAAGTCATTTCCAAAATCTTGGCAGATAGGCTAAAACATTGTCTTCCATTCTGCATCAGTATCACTCAGTCAGCCTTTATTCCTGGCAGACAGTTGTTAGATAATGTGATCATTGCTCAAGAGGTTTTCCATTTCCTTAGTAGGCATAGATCAGGCACTAAAAGGTACATGGCCCTTAAATTAGACATGTCTAAAGCCTTTGACAGGATTGAATGGGCTAGTATCAAATGCATTATGGAGAAAATGGGTTTCAACATGATTTTTATCAAATGGGTTATGGCTTGTATCCAATCTACATCTTTCTCTTTCAAGCTTAATGGTCAACCTGCTGGCTATATCATCCCTTCTAGAGGAATAAGGCAAGGGGACCCATTATCCCCTTACTTATTCCTCTTGGTCACTGAATGTTTATCTTGTCTCATACATCATGAAATTGCTACTGGATCCTTCAAAGGGCTGAAAATCTCAAGGCAAGGCCCCACCCTCAGCCACCTTTTCTTTGCTGATGACTCACTGCTCTTTTGCAAGGCTTCTATTGATTCTGCCAATCATATTCTAGCCATGTTGGAGAAATACAAATGCTTTACAGGCCAGCAAGTCAACTTATTGAAATCATCAGCTTTCTTTAGCAAGAACACACCTCAAGCTGTTCAAAGGGCCATCTGCCAAACTCTTCATGGCATCTCTCTCCACCAATCAACAAGGTATTTGGGATTGCCCCTTGGCATTAGGAGATCAAAAGGTGAAGCTTTCAATTATGTTCTGGATGCTGTAAAAAACAAACTGCATAGCTGGAAGAATAAGTTCCTATCTGGAGCAGGGAAGGAAATCCTCATCAACTCTGTCCTTAGTGCTCTCCCTGTCTTCACAATGTCCTATTTTCTCCTTCCTGTGGGCATCTGCAAGGAACTATCCAAAATTTTTTCTAACTTCTGGTGGTCTTCTCATAATAAGCCTAACTCTGGTATCCATTGGAAGCCTTGGACATTGATGTCTCTCCCCAAAGCAGCCGGAGGCTTGAACCTTCATGATCTCCAACTCTTTAATAAAGCACTAATTCTGAAACAAGTGTGGAGATTGATTACCAAGCCAGAACTCCTTATGAGCAAGGTGCTGAAGAATAAGTACTTCCCTTCTGGGAATTTTTTTGCAGCAAAACCTACTCAAAATGTATCATGGCTGTGGAGAAATTGGCTCAAGGTGCAGCAAACTTTCCTTAAGGGCTTCAGGATGCAGATTAGAAATGGCAGAAACACAAAAATTTGGGAGCAACCATGGGTTCCCACCCTCTCTGGTCCTAAAATCCTGATGAAATCTCCTAACTCCCCTAATCTAACCTGGGTATCTGAACTAATTGCTGAAGATGGTGTTTCATGGAACAGAAATCTTCTCAACAGCACCTTCTCTCAGGAAGAATGTGATGCTATCCTCAAAATCAAAACATTGTCCCAACACCTCCTTGACATGCCTGTGTGGTCATTTGATTCCAAACTCAAATTCTCAGTGGCTACTACATATGCCCACCTTATCCACAGAAAAATCCTCACTCTTGACATACCTGAACATAGTACAACTGCTGCTGCCATGAGGAAGATGAGAACCAGGAGTTGGAAGCTACAAATCAAAGGTAAAGTTAAACATTTCATTTGGAAATGTTTTACTGGAGTCCTCCCTGTTGCTGTAAACCTCAAGAAAAGAGGCCTTACCCTTGATACCACCTGCAAGGTTTGTGGGTGAAAGTCCTGAAACCACTGAACATCTTTTTTTCCATTGTCCTAGAGCTCAAACAATCTGGAATCATTCTCCTGTTCAATGGAATCACCATAACATCTCTGATCTCAATTTCAAATACTGGTGGTCTGACATATGTTCCCTCAAAAAGGAGAAGGCAATTGATGATAGAATTCAGCTCTCCTCATACATCTTGTGGCAATTATGGAAAACTCGAAACCTATGGGTCTTTCAACAAACCATGACACCAGAGCACATTACCATTGACATTGCAGTTAAGGAATGGCAGGAATATGGCTCTTCTCTTTCTCAAGCATAGGCTCTTTCTCTTTATTTCTGTTTTCTGTCTAGTTTTTGTTTTTCTGGTTTGTTTTTATTTTCCTAGCTAGGCCTCGGCAGTGGCTAGTTTAGTGTTTTTAGTTGTGTTTCTTGGTTACTGTGTATGGAGCAGCAGGCCTCCGCGTGCCTTTGCGGCTGTTGCCTCTTTTCATGTATTTGGTTTGTGTTTCTTTGCTTCTGTTTTCTAAGCAGGTTTCAACCTGTTTCTGATCCCTTATGGATTGTGGCCTGTTGGGTCCCCGTTGTACGAACTTTATCTATTTATGAGTATATTTATTATCGTTTGGAAAAAATAAAAAGATTAAGGGTGGCCGAGAGTTGCGATTTAGCCGAAATTGAGTAGACATTGGATATTTATTTCTTGGGGTTTTTCTTTTGGTGGCTGAATCTTATTGTGTAATAGGATTTCTATTTAAGCTGGGAGTTAGTTTTTAGGATAGGAACTGTTTTTTTATTGGGATTTATTTTGCGAAGGTAGTTGCGGGAAAATTAATTTTCTTTTGGGCCNTTAATATTGGTTTGGAATTGGCGTGGGTTATTATTATTATTAAAAAAAAATCTCTTCAAAATGAGTTCACGAAGTAAAGAGCGAAGACAAGAAAGGAAAGACATGGCCAACAAGGAGATGAAGGACAAACTCGAAAACTTGGACGTGCAAGTCCAAAGCATAAGCGAGGCCATGGACAACCAAGGCGAAGGGCTCGACACCACCAAGACGTCGGTGTGGGATTTAATGGAGAACATGAACCGGAGGTTCGACGAGATGGCGCGCAGCTTCCAACACCAGCAGGCGCGGCCACCACCTCGGACGCACGGGCGCGAACGAGCCGAGGAGCACGAGCAGCACCGCGCCGAGTACGAACGGGAGAAGGAATTCGAGGGCCGCCGGCTCGACGAGTGCTTAATGGTTGCGCATCGACCAACCCCGAACATTGCTCGACCACCACCGCACGATGATCGACGACACCCGCGTGAAGCTCGACCACCACCTTACGGGTACGATCGTCCAGGAGAGAGCTCGGGCAAGCTGAGATCGAGCAAGAGGAGTCGCGAGCATTTGGCAAGGCCCAAGGCGAGTCCAAGAAGGAACAACGCCACGAGATGCAGGGCGCGAGCTGCAACAAACCGGGGATGCGACCACCGAACACTTTTCGACCGCCAGCCCCAGACGTTAAAAGATTGTCGTTCATGGAGATAAGGCGCCGAAAAGAGAAAGGCATATGCTTCATGTGTGAGGAGAAGTCCACGCCGGGGCATCAGTGCAAACAGGCCTTTGTGATCCGATTTGTCGACTCGGATGAGGAGGAGCCGGAGGGTTGGAGCAGATTTTCATTTGACTTTTCGAGATTTTTTTATGAGGAGCCCGTTTTTTCGATGGAGTTTCTAGAATACTTTGACGACGAAGAGGCGGCCAAAGACGAACACATCCATTCGGACAAAGATGATGAGTGCACATCCGAGCGAGGACCAACCGACTACGAGGAGTCATCTATCTCCGATACTTATCTCGACGGGCCCGATGAGGTCGAGAACAAAGAAGAGGAAGTCGGTGCAGACGGCAAAGAAGAAGAGCCCCGATGAGAGTCACTTGATGTGTCCTTGAGAACAAGGACAAACTTTAAGGGGGCGGGAATGATGAGAATGTGGGTTTCGAGGCCCGAGGACGTCGAGAGCCGATGGCCGAGACGACGCTTGAAGGCCGAGAAAAGGGCCAAATTCACGTATGCATGGCCTAAGAGACGGGTACGAGCCCGTATACAAGGTGCACGAGCACAAAAGAAACGACAGAGTCGAACCATTGGGGCTGTGCAAAGGAGGTTCGTGATGGCTGCGTGCGAGGAAAACGCGCAACGTGTAGACACGCGATACGCGTGAGCCGCATAGCGAGGCGCGTGAGGGTACACGTGAAGATGCGCATCCATCAGTGCGAGCCGGTGCGCGAGATGATCCAATGGCAAGGGCGCGGACACGCACATTGGCGTAGACATGCATGGTCGAGACCCGAAAACCCGCCAGGGTCGAGCCTGCAAGGACGAGCAGGCGGCACGAGGGGTTGCAGCCAAATGGGCCGAACAAGAAGGTCGGCTGGTCGACTCTCAGATGGTCGACATTCGCGAGCTCGAACGGGCCTATCACATGGTCAACACTCGCTAGGTCGATCGGGCGGCAGGACGAACAGATGGACGATGCTCGCGGAGTCGAGGACGCGCATGGTCGGGGTCGGAGGAATCGAGGCTAGACTCACGGTATCGAGCAGATCGAGGCACGAGCAGGTCGAAGCTAGTTGGGTCGAGCACCTCCAAGGTGCGAGGCACGAGGCTAGGCGCGGACATCCAGTAAGCCTCGTTGGACAAGGATTAGGCGACGGGGTCGAGTGCGGCCACCCATGCGCCAAGACGGCAAGGGTTGGACTCCTTGGAGGATTAGGAAAGACGGACGAGGGAGATTCCAGAGAGTTGCTCGAAATCCTCAAAAGACTAGGACACAAGGGCAGATGTAGTCACGCGCATACAAGGTTGGCGATAGGAAGAGTCCTTGAAGGACTAGGCGAAAGCAGTGCGGACGAGCGCATGGGCGTTTTCGATGGCGGGGTAGGCAAGGCGCAAAAGGACGGCGTGAACGTGGAAGACTTTTTGAAGACGGCTAGGGTCTCTTCCCTAGACGGAGATGTCAACGGACTGAGGACACCACGCGACCAAGCACGAGGAGGAGTGCGCGGGCGTGACGCCTAAGCACAAGAGGCGAGCCGTGCGAGCCGAGGAATGAAGATTCTAGAAGATACTTATTATCTAGATTAATTAGTTTAATTAATTAATAGTCAGGTTTGTTTAGAAGTTAGTAATATTTATTCGGTTAGTCTTGAGTTTCGTAGGTTAGTATATATATTTAATTAGGTGGTTTATATATATTATGTTAGGATTGTTCTTCACGTGAGTAGATTAGTATAGTTAGGATATATTTATTTATGTTAGCCGCGTTAGTGGTTATTAGATGTTAGGAGATTAATTATTGTGTTAGCATATTTAGTTAGTCGAGGTTAGTAATTAGTTGGTTAGGTATTTTATATTTTGGCAAGTCTTGATATGCAAGACATTTAGTTACTTTAGGATTAGATGTTATTTTCGAGTTGGAATTATAGCTCTCATATAGGACTCGATCTAGTTTTATTATCAATGAATATTAGTAGAAAACCCGAACTTTTGTTCAAACACTTTGTCTTAGATTTCTTTTGGATTTCTTTTGCAATTTTATTCTTTTTAAGAGACGCTCACAAGGCTCGCGAGACACCTATCGTGCGATTTAAGGCGCGGGAGTGGCTTGTCGACAGTCGGAACACACGATCTTTATCATTGGTGCTCTCGTTGAGAGTATCTAGATTGTGTGTTTTTTTCTTCTCCATTCTTTTTGATTTAGGTTTTGTTCAAAAAATAAAAAATAAAAATTGTATTTTTTTTTATTTTTGTTNATATTGATTAAGGGTGGCCGAGAGTTGCGATTTAGCCGAAATTGAGTAGACATTGGATATTTATTTCTTGGGGTTTTTCTTTTGGTGGCTGAATCTTATTGTGTAATAGGATTTCTATTTAAGCTGGGAGTTAGTTTTTAGGATATATTTATTTATGTTAGCCGCGTTAGTGGTTATTAGATGTTAGGAGATTAATTATTGTGTTAGCATATTTAGTTAGTCGAGGTTAGTAATTAGTTGGTTAGGTATTTTATATTTTGGAAAGTCTTGATATGCAAGACATTTAGTTACCTTAGGACTAGATGTTATTTTCGAGTTAGAATTATAGCTCTCGTAGGACTAGATCTAGTTTTTCTTATAAATACCTATGTATTCATTCAATTTTATTATTATTGAATATTAATAGAAAAACCGAACTTTAGTTCAAACACTTTGTCTTAGATTTTTTCTTGATTTCTTTTGCAATTTTATTCATTTCAAGAGGTGCTCTCGTGGCTCGCGAGACACCTATCGTGCGATCTAAGGCGCGGGAGCGCCTTGTCGACAGTCGGAACACACGATCTTCATCATGGTGTCAGCCCATGTCTATCTCGGGCCAGTGCCGTGCCAGCCGCACGCCAGAGCACTCAGCTAGCCTCGGGACGTGCCCAACAGCACCCTAGTGGCACCAGCCGCGACCGTGCCAGCGCAAGCAGCGTCTGGTCATGTCTGTTCCGAGCCCAGCCGTGTCAGTATCATGCCAGCCGCACGCCAGAGCCTAAGTGCAACTCGGTAGAGCCCAGCAGCACCCGAGTGGCACCAGTCGTGCTTGGGCCCGTGCCAGCAGCATCTAGCCGCGCCTCTCCGTGCCCATCAGTACCCAGGGCCACGCCCGGTCGCACCAGCAGTGCCCAGCACTGCGCCAGTGTAACGCCCCGCCCTAACTTAATTACAGAGTGCGATTATAAGACATCTTTTTAAAATAGTTTGAGAAAATGATTCGGAGCGTTACTAAAACATTTATTTTATCTCTTAGAAATCCGTTACGACCGTTTAAAAATTTACAACAAAAACAGATTTACATAATATACAATCCGGCTATAAAATCGGATCAAAAGTCAAAGTTTGTCAAACAGTAAATTCAGCGGAATATAGCGTGGTAAAATATACAACAAAATATTTAACTTCGATCCACCCGTCAACTTCACAGCTCCGGACCGACTTCATGATCTAAAATTTTTTTTGATAAAATGGGGTGTGAGTACCACTGTACTCCGTAGGAACTCATACTAAAGTAAACAACAATAATAATAGTAACATCATGATCAAAAGCATATAACATAACCGTGAATTTCCTGGTCAACGGTATAACCCGGACCCGGACCCGGACCCGTGAATCTACCGGCTGCCATGATATAATGATAATGATAATAATGATGTTTGCCGGAATCCATGTGCACATACTAGTGGTAGATGATGCCACTAGAACTTAGAACGGAATTATGGCAACCTGAACCGGCCAACATCCATTCCAAGCGGAAAACATGATTGACATACCTTGAACATGATATCGTAATTATAATCAATGTAATACCCAGTCTGAGTCCCCACCTGTACTGAAGATATGAAACTGGAAGTGCTGATAGTCGTGAACTGATCAAACTGTAACATAATATAAACATTTACTAAGTACTATGCTCAGATTAATAAATTTAACTGTTAAGATGCTCGACTCGACTTAATATGATATCCGGATATAACGGAA